GGAAACCCAAGGAGGGGTCGCTATGAGTCAGGTCTGACTCGACAGCACATAACAGCAACAACAACAGTTTGGTGAGTAGCAACTAGGGTCTTAAAAGCTTGCAAGAGGCCATCTAAGAAGATACAGCTATTTCTCTCTTCCTGTCTAGAGCAAAGAAATGAAAAAAACCAAAGACTCAAGGAAATAATTAGCCCAAAGGACTAATGGACCACACGAACCACAACCTCTGTTAGTCTGAGACCAGAAAAACTAGATGGTGCCCAGCTACCACAGCTGACTGCTCTGATCAGAATCATAATAGAAGGTCCTAGACAAAGTGGAAGAAAAAAAAATTATAGAACAAAAGTCAAAATCATAAAAAAGACCAGACTTTGTAGTCTGATAGAGACTGATAGAACCCTTAAGACTGTGACCCTTAGACACCTTTTAAGCGTGGACCTGAACCCACCCCCAGGGGATCACCTTTCAGCCAAACAATGGACAGGCCTATATGTGAACAGTAACACCAGGGAGGAACAGTCAACCATGGGAGACCGAAAGGGCAGCATTTGCCCGAAATAGCTCAGAAGGTGGGAAAGATGGGCCAATGGATGAGAGGAAACCAAGGAAGAAGCAGAAGAATAAATTGAGATTGCAAGCAGTGTCACAAGACAAAATGTGTTTAAATTGTTGAATGGAAAACTGATTTGCTATGTAAACTTTCACCCAAACCACATTAAAAAAAGCAATAACTTGGGGAAGATGGTAAATAAACATGAGACACAATAAAAATGTTTAACATTTTAATTCTCTGAGAATTAAAAAACTTTTCGTATTTTAAAAATGAATAGGCTAGTGGAGAGAGCAGTGCCCTGCCTTTTTATTTGAGATTTGCGTATGAGTTAATGGTTGCAAGGGGGAAAAGGGTCAGGTGACTGTGGGAGAGATGGAATTCCCAGGAGGGAACTGATGGAGTGAAGAGGTGTTGATAGCAGCCTGGGCTGGGAGCTTGCTGGACCAACCTGTTTGAGAGGGAAATGTAGGCTAGGAGAAGGGTGATCGCTTGGGACCACAACAGACATGATTTATAAAATCGTTTTGTCTTGTTTCTTTCTGCAGCATCCTGACTTTGAGAGACTATGTACTTGACCTGGGTCACCCCTATCTGTGGGTTCAGAAGCTGGGTGGCCTCCACTTCCCCAAAGAGCAGCCTCAGGTGTGTATACTAACCTGCTCCTTGGCTGGGGAGCTCTCCTTCTCCCCTCCTTTGGACTCCAGAGAGATCTCTGATGGCCTTTTGGGGATCAGAACCAGCAGAATGCTTTATCTTGGGGCTCTGATCAGTCCTCCATCAGTTCAAGAGAACTTGGGGGCACAGGAATCCCCATAACTGAAACGGCTGAGGCCTACAAATGTTTAGGTACCTCTTGCCTTCTCCCTAGCCTGGTAGTCCTCCGAATCAAAGTAAATTGGGTCCTTGCTCGGGGCAGCTTGGCTCCAGGCTCTGCTGCCCCTTAGACTTATGCACAAGGATCCCAAAAATGATGAGTAAGCAGAACTCCAGTGGACCTGGCCCCTTAGTGGAACTCTTTTCACAGGAGCTAGCCACAGCTTGTTGTTAACACAGTGGCTATAGGTACCTTCTTGGAGTCTGCCTCTGCCTGTCACAGCAGGTCAGTCCTGCCCTTCCCACAGGCTCCCTCTCAGGTCATGGATGGTCCAGGCTGTCATAGGCAGGAGAGTGGTTTTAGAGGCTAGAAGTCCAAGTTCAAAGTGCCCCCAGCTCTAGGGGCTGGATGAGGGCCCCTCAACCTTGGGCTTCAGCTCTGCGTCTTGCTCCCGGTTCACTGGAACTGGAGGCTTTCTTCACTCAGGCAACAGCTGGCTGCTGAGGCTGACAAACTCAAGGTTGATAAATGAAAAGGCACAGTCCCAGTGTTACCAAACCACATGGCAGACCACTGATTCAAGTCCATTAAGAGTGCTGAGATCAACAGACAACATGGCAGGCTGCTGAACAACGACTTGGCTACATGCAGGGCCCAAGTGTGCCAACAAGCAACCTTTCTCCACGTTTCTCCTTATATGCTGGAAGCCAACCACATCCCTGAGGCAGCTACTCAGCTGCTCCAATAGATTCCACCATGGAGATGATGACCAGTCTCATCATGGGGACTGACTATATCCAGCTGCCCAGGCACTCAAAACCAGGCCCAGCCACGTTGACACATAACCGTAACTACCACACTGTCATTCACAGTACACAGTAATTGCGGACCACTCGTTGAGTGCCAGCCACATGGAGACCACCATGAAACTTCTGAAGACCAGGGTCCAGTCCCGCCTGGCCCTCCATAAGCAGTTTGCATCCCTGGGTAAGTGAAGTTTGGGGCTGTGGCTTGGCCACTTGGACAGAGAAAAGAATGACTTAGTCTTTCGCTCAGAACTCTTGAATTCTGACAACAAATTAAAGGAGGATTCCTGGTTCTCACAGGGCAGAGGTGTTGGGGAGGGCTACAGTCCCATCCAGACTGCAGTTCCATCCAGGCCAGGGGTCCAGTATCCCCTCCCCCAGAAAGGGCACCAAAGCCTTCTGGGTATGCTCGTTAGCAGATTGGTCAGGAGCAGCTCCATTCAGGTCAGTGCATCCAGGCTTTGGTCTAGGATGGGACTGGGCACTGAGCCCTCATAAGCACCCAGGTGATTCTGATGAGCTGCTGACCTAGGCAGTGGCCACATGGGGGCTTCTTGGAGTGTTCCTAAGTATCAGGTGCTTACCATGTACAGGGAGTCCCTGGGTTGTGCAAGTGGTTAAGCACTCCACTACTAACCAGAAAGTTGGCAGTTTGAACCCACTGACAGTCTCTTCAGAAAACAGACTTGGCAATCTGCTTCCAGAAGGGAACAGTCTTAAAAATGCTATGGACCATTTCTACTCTAACATATCGGGTTGCCGTTAGTCAACATCGGCTCAGTGGCAGCTGTTTTTTTTTTTTTTTTTTTTTTACTGTGTACAGGCAGTTACAGGGTGGCTGGAGTTAGGATCTCTCTGCTCTAAAAGCGTCCCTGTTAGGAGAGGCATTGCATTTCCCAGACCTGCTTGGAGATCCCCATCCCCAGGCAAGCTCTCGTCATGCTGATCACGGACATGATCTCTTGGGGCAGCACTCTTGTCTTCCAGGCCCTGCTCCGCACCAGCAGTGCTGAGTTTGCTTGGATGGTGTCTTCCTGGACAGCATTTTCTAGGTTGGCATATTTACTTACTGAAACACCAGCAGGAATGTCCCCTAGAACAGTTCTCCATCCTCCTCCCCCACCCAGAGCACCTTAGCCGTTTACTCCATCAAGGTCAGCTAGGAAAACAGCCCTCTCAGTTATTTGATCTAATTAACAGTCACTGCTGCGGAGGCACCATCTCTGGTTCTGGCTGCAGGGGTTTTTGTTTCACTGGCCGACATTTGCATTAAGAATGAGGCTGGAAATGTAGACATGCCAGCCTGACCTTCACCCAATGCCATGTGCTCAAGCCCAGCACCAGAATTCAGGATGGTATGCCTACATTCCTAGCACAAACTGACCTGTGCACCTACTGTGTGTCTGATGTACTGGGACAACTGTCAGGGCCATTTGAGCCCTCCAGAGCACCCCTAGGAGAATGCTGGGGTACCCAGTTGTGGCACCTGCTTTCTACCTCTAACAGCACGTGTCTTGCTCTCTTCCAGAACATGGCATTGTGCCAGTTACCAGTGATTGCCAGTACCTCTTCCCTGCAAAGGTGGTCTCTCGCCTGGTGAAGTGGGTGACAATTGCCCATGAGGATTACTTGGTAGGTGAAGGAGTAACAGGTCAGCTTTGCTGCCCTGGGGACTGCAGACCTATGTCACTTTTCTGTTCTTGCCCCTTCACCTGAAGGGCAGAGCATTTGACCAGAGGAGCTAGCAATTGACTCCATCTCCATGGTGGCCGTTCTAGGAGTTGCATTTCACCAAAGACATTGTGGAGGCGGGACTTGCTGAGGACACCAGTCTCTACTACATGGCCCTCATCGAAAGGGGCACAGGTAATTGCTTTGCGGATCACACTGGTTCCTGGCGAGGGGAGCTGCTAAGAATGAAAACATCCTGGGGGTTGTCCAACCCAAATGAAATATTCTGGAATCCTGGGTTGGACACTTAGCACATAGTGATGGTTGTGACAGCCACTGTTCAGTGAGGACGGATCCTGTAACACAGGCACAGCATGCGTTGTCTAATACAGTTCTTCCCAGCAGTTCTGGGAGTGGACACGTCATTCCCATTTACAGGTGAGGAGATTCAGGCTTAGTCACACAGCTAGTGAATGCTGGATTTACACCCAGGTAGGTCCTCTGAGCCTGAGCTCCCAGCCCCTCTGCTTCACTGCAGTCTAGAATCAGATACCCTATTCTCCGGCCTCTCCATCCCACTGGTTGTAAGTGACATCTTGTAAAGTGCAAGGTCACAGGGCCTCCTTCCCTTCTCCTCCTCCAGAGTTTTTGCCCACACTTCAGCATCAGAAGCTCTGATTCCTCACAGCTCTCTGGCATCTCGGGAACCTTACAAATTGCTGTCATGCTGTAGTCTGCCACAGCCTCAGCAGGGCCTGGCATTGCCCACAGATCTGACCCTCTGAGGCTCAGTTCTAGGGCCACACAGCCAAGGGAGTTGCTGGTAATGCTAGTGCAGAAGAAGAAGGGACTCTGATGTTAGAGCCTCTCCCTCTCTGCCCCACTTTTTGCCCCTCTTTTTCCTTTCTTCCTGTCTTTTTTTGTTTTTAATGTTCTAAAGAAATGAAAGCTGTCAGATACAGTTGGAGCCCTTTGCCCACTCCGTTCCCTTCTCATGACAGGTGACCACTGCATGGCATTTGTGCCTTCGCTTCCCCTCCTAAATTCACTTGGGCCTCATCCCTAACAACAGAGAGCCCTTCCAGTGAAGGGGCACAAAATACTCAGTCCAAGAAATGTCCTTGCCCACGAGCAGGAACTCACTGAGTGATCACATCCGCTTTCTGGTTGAGCTGATGAAGCTCGGAAAGATGACAAGTATTCTATAGTAACACATAAAATGAATGTGATACTAACGTACATTTTCATGGGACATATGAAAGAATTTGAAAAACTAAGAATGAAATTTAGCTGAGTAAGTGGGCAACAGTCCCAAATATACATAATTTTTCAAAGGATCAATGAAAACTCATATAGTGTAGATTAAAAACAAAAAGATGGTGAAGAGAGACAAATCCAGAAATATATGCAGATGGTTATGACAGAAACAGCCCAACAGTACAGAAAGGAATCATTTTTCAATGAATGTTATGACCTTCAGGGGAGAATGATCACAACCTGTACTCTCTTATTGTAATTTCAATACCTAGAGTTAAACTTTTTTTTCATCAATAACTAAGGAGGGATGGCATGCTTAACCCATTGGAGGAGAGGAGATTAATGCCATTCTTTTGACAAAAGTGAAGCTTGTCTCCAGAGGAAACATGAATATGTATTGGACAAGTATACAAATACTTAGTTTTATGATTACGAACACAGGCTGTAACATCAGGCAGGTCTGGTTAAACTCAGCGCTGCTGCTTTGCAGTTGTTTGATTTTGGGAACGTTTCTGTCAGAGCTTCAGTTTCTTTAATGTAAAATGGGTTGATGATATGGTACCCATTGTAGGATCCTTGTCAGGATGAAATAAAGTGGGAACAGAGGGGACACAGGAAGCTCTCAGTACATGCTGGCTATTAAAAAAAGGAAGTTTCATACAACAGAGTTTATAAAAATAGAAGGAACAGAATAGGATAAATATATTTGACTGATGTAACAGTCGATGCAAAAGATCATTGAAAAGAAAAGCCACATAGTAAACCTTCACGTGGAAAAATCCTTTACTTTCTACCAGATAAAGAAATGTCACTTAAGCCAATTTCTGTCAGAGTCTAAATAGAGATCTTGGGCAAGCCTGCTGTGGTCTATACCCTGGGGTGCTGGTGCAGTCAATAGACCAAGGTCCTTAGAGGGGTCAGAGTCACAGGACCCCACGTTCTGCAACCTGGCACTTCCTCTTCAGGGATGCTAGAATGAAAGTAAACATCGGTCAGTATGAGAGTTTTCTCTGCAGCCCTCAGGTTAACCTGAGGCATTTGAGCCAGCATCAGGGTCCAACGGAGAGGCTGCCATGGCCAACAAGCTGGTTCTCAGAACTGAGTTTCCCTGCACTCCTTTCCCTTCCCAGCCAAGCTCCAGGCCGCTGTGGTGCTGAATCCTGGCTACTCCTCCATCCCCCCTGTTTTCCAGCTCTGTCTGAACTGGAAGGGAGAGAAGACCAACAACAACGATGACAACATTAGGGTAAGGCCCGGCTGGGGGTGCCAGGAGGAGCAGGCGGGCCTCCGCAGGGCCAGGCAGTGGCAGAACCTGCTGCAGCTGAGGGCTTGGGCGCTGTAGTTTAATTCCCGGGACAGTGGCTTTTGTGGGATTTACAGAATTTGCTGGAGGCTGATGGTATAGTAATAGAGAGCACCTAGACCCCTCTCTCCAGCTTAACTAGCTTGGGGCCCATGGGTGCCCCCATTTCTAAAATGGGGATAGAAGGTTGTTGCCTTGAGCGTCTGTGTAAACGTGTATACTCAGAAGCGTTATAGGAGCCCTGGAACAATAGAGCACGTGAGATCGCTGGCAGCTGTTCGTTACCATTCTGCCTGTTGGTCTGATTTGGTAGTAATGGCCTTGAAGCCCATTTTTAACCCTGGCCCCATCTGACTTTGATCTTATCTTCAGGTAACTTGTCACACCTCCATCTTGGAATGAGAGGCAGAGAAAGTTAGGGGCCAGAATCAGGAAAATCGTACTGTCTTTTTTTCTTCTTAAACTTTCTGTTCTGTTTTGAGTGAAAGCTTACAGAGCAGATTAGTTTTCCATTCACTGATTTACGCGCCATTTGTTCCGTGATGTTGGTTGCAGTCCCCACGATGTAACAGCACTCTTCCCACTTCCTCCCTGGTCCCCCCGTTTCTATTCACCCTTCTTCCCTGCTCCTTCCTGCCACTGAGCTTTGTTTTGGGGCAGATGCTGCCCTTGTGGTCTCCTGTGGTTGATTGTTCCTAGGAGCATGTTCTTCACGGGTGTTACTGTTCGCGTCACAGGCCTGTCCATTCCTCACGGGTGTTACTGTTCGCGTCACAGTCCTGTCCATTCCTCACGGGTGTTACTGTTCGCGTCACAGGCCTGTCCATTCCTCATGGGTGTTAATGTTCGCGTCACAGGCCTGTCCATTCCTCACGGGTGTTACTGTTCACATTATAGGCCTGTCTGGTGTTTGGCTGAAAGATGGTCCCCCGGAGTGGGTTCAGGTCCGTGCTTGAAGGGTGTCTAAGGCCACAGTCTCAGGAGTCAAGCAAGCTCTGTTGTCTTGACGAGCCTCTCTGGCTTGATGTGGCGAGGCGAGGCTCCTGTGTGGGCTCCAGACTCAGGTCTTATGGAGACCTCAGGCCCCCCCTGGGTACCAAGCTTGGCCAGGGTAGTTAGCACCCACTGGAGTTGCTGAGTTGCTGGCTTTCCCACCCGCACAGGCCATGGAAAGTGAGGTCAACGTGTGCTGCAAGGAGCTGTGCGGTGCTCGGCCTGGCCACCAGCTCTTGACCAACCAGTTGCAGCGTCTGTGTGTGTTGCTGGACGTCTACCTGGAGACCGAGAGCCATGACAACAGCGTGGAGGGGCCCAAGGAGTTTCCCCAGGAGAAGATGTGTCTGCGGCTTTTCAGGTGAGGGGCTGGGCTCTGACGACCTCTGGCCCTGCCTGTCACGTGGACTTGAGGGCGGAGATCAGAGCCCAGGATGCTGCGCCACCCTACACACACAGTGTCCAGGTACACTTGTCTGTTCACAGTAGAAATTAAAATCCTGCTGCCAGATGTCCCAAGGAGAGTTCACTCCCTCCTTCCTGAAACTTACCCTGCAGCCAACTTTCTTGGGCCTGGACCAGCTGTCTTCACCAGCAGGCTGTGCTCAAAGCAGCATTGCTGCTCATTACCCCTTGAAGTTGGGCCCACTGGACCGTGAACCAGGAAGAGGTGGCCACACTAAACTTTTTGTGTTTTCTGTGGAAAACAACAGGGTTGTCTTTCTTTCTTTTTTTTAATTTTACTGTGATTTGGGTGAAAGTTTACAGAACAAATTCATTTTCCATACAGCAGTTCACATACGCTTTGTCTCGTGACATTGACTGCAATTTCCCACAATGCAACAGCTCCTCTCCCACTTCCTCCCCACAGCCACCTCTTCCCTGTGTCCATCCGTCTCATGCACTCCTGCCCCGGAGCTGTCTCCCTGTGCATACACAGCCCTTCTACTCTCCCATGATTGGTCTCTCCAAGGAGTTTATCTACCTAATGTAAATGTTCAGCTTATATGCCTGTCTTTTGTTTGGCTGAAAGCCACAGGTGTGGGTTCAATTCCAGATCTGAAGGGCAGCTAGGGACCATAGTCTCAGGGGTTCCACCAGGCTCTATCAGACCAGCAAACCTAGTCCCCGCCTTTTTTTTTTTTTTTTTAAATGATTTTGAGCTTTGTTTCACATTGTTCCCCACTTTATCCAGGATCTGCTACGTAGATCTGATAGGGTTTTCTTTGCTTTTTATTATCCAGATATGCTTTTTCAAACTGTGTTTATCCCCACTAGCCCCCAGGAGTCAGCTGGGCCTTCCTAGGGAGAATGGCAGCTGTAGGCGGTGGGTGGGGAGCTCCAGGAGGAAGCAGCTTGGAAGAGAGCCAGGCACAAGGGTCTATTCAGCTTTGCCGCTTACCAGCCGTGTCACCTTGGAGGGCCATTCCACCTCGGCTCCACACCTGTTTCTTCAGCACTGCAGCAGAAGTTACACCGTCTAGCTCATGAGGCGTTAGCGAGAATCCTTCTAAAGCTTCTGAGGTGGTTCCTGGCACAGGACGGGTGCTCAGAAAGCGCCAACAGGTCCTGGTTGGTGTGGGGCATCAGAGTTTCCAGCATCCTTGCAAGCTTGTCTTCATTTTTAGTGTTGGGTCCTTTTTTCCCTTTTTATCCCTTTACTCACAGTCTTATTCTTCAAGGGTAAGTTTCAAAAACCCAGTAGTCTACTGCTCAGACTCCCCTCCCTTGGGTGAGGGGTTGAGAGGGGAGCAGTGTTTGTGGAGGGGAAAGGGGAAGGGTTACAATCTGTCTCAGACCAGGGCACCCCCTTGTTCCCTTTCAGTTCAAAAGCTACCTTACTTTCCTCTAACCTTGTTCCCAGCCCCTAGAAGCTGCCCAGCATCTTCCCACCTCCGTCTGGCACCCCTGCCTGGCCTGGTTCATAGCGTGTCAGATAATAACCAGCTCTGGCCCTGTGTGGCTGCTGGGAGGCAGAGCTGTGCCTGGATGCTGGTCCCTTCTAGCATTTGCTATCTGTAGTGGGCCTGGGTGAGACCTCAGCTCTTGCCACCCTCCCACCCTGCACACAGTTCCAGTAGCACATTTCCAGGTGGGAGTTCTCAACGTGCGAATGGTTTCTGAAATACTTTGTATGGTGCCTTGCAGAAGGTACACCTTTGGTGACTCAGAGCTAATTATCTCCGTGGCTGGTGAGGTATTTGATGTGAGGCTGTTGACCTGGAGGCCAGCTGACCACTGGGATGAGGCCAAGCAGTCAGAATGCAGGCTTAGCCCCTGCCTGGGCACTGCCGCTCTGGCCTCTCCATCTGCAATAGGCCTGAACTTGCCCAGATGGCTCTTTGCTCTTCTGGGGATGGGGGGCATAGGACACCATGGATATGAGCAAGGGTTTTGGAACCAGGAAGAAGACCTCGCTTCTAATCCCAGCTCCTACATGTGTGATTAGGGTCTGTTTACTTAGAGCCACTGAGCTTCAGTTTCCTCATCTGTAAAGCAGCATCTACCTTGAGTGCTGTTGAGAGGATGAAATCCAGTGAGATCACATATGTAAAGTGCTAAGCACAATACCGGTGGAGTAAACCCTCAACCACTGGTACTGAAATAATAACTTCCATCTTCCCCTGTTTGAACTCCCATCGCACACACTCACAACACATGCATATACACATGCACACTCATATTAAAAAAATCCAAATCACTGACATCGAGTCGAATCCAACTCATAGCAACCCCCATTGGGTTTTCAAGGCAGTAAATCTTTACGGAAGTAGATTACTCCATCTTCCTTTCATGGAGCAGCTGGTGGGTTTGAACCGCCAACCTTCTCACCACCAGAGCTCCTGTGCACACATACACATAAACACACAAAGTCATACCATATATACACTTAAACACACACCTACCATGTATGAACATGCACACATGCACAAACATACACACACCTACTCCCTTAAACCAAGACCCAGGATGTTATCGTGAACCATCACCTATCACAGGCAGGAAAAAGCGGGAGAAGTGGCCCTTTTTACCTGGGCGTGGACTTACCCATGTGGAATTGTAGGAAGAGGGCCCTCTGTGGAGTCTGCTTGGGGGCCAAGAATTACAACCTCATCTTCACAGGGGCAGGCTTTGGACACTGGCCCCTTGAACATGCCTGTTGGCCTGCCTGTGGCAGACGGGCTTTGGCATCAGGCTGTTTTTGGATTCTGGCTCCGCCAGTTCTTGGCTGCATAGTGTTGGACAGACCATTTACCTCCCTGAGCCTGTCTCTTCACCTGTAAGATGTGTGAAACGGCGTAGCTAGCCCCTGCAAGGGAGGGAGGAGCCAGCACCCAGCTCCTGATGGGCACTCAGGGCACAGCCCTTTCACTGCCAGGCTGTGCCTGCGTGAGAATCTCCTTACACGGGTGATTTCTAAAATATCCTTTATTTTTTTATTAGAAAAAACATGTTTAAGTATTTTAGCAACCACACAGAAAGTGAGAGTGCCCGAACTCTGTCCCCAGACATGCGTTGTCGGCGAGGGCCCTTCCGTCGGTGGGAATGCATTGCAAGCGAACGCATTTTTACAAAGATGATGTCACACCTGACATGTCGTTCCGCAGCCTGCTTCTCTTAACAGTGTTCCGTGTCACGTAGTGCTGTCTTTTTTAAAAAAACAATTCTCTAATATTCCCTTGTGTGGACAAATCGCGAGTTAGTTTATCAGTCAAGGGCTTGCTGTTAACTGCTCTCCCTTCTCCTGTTTCTCTAGGGGCCCCAGTAGGATGAAGCCGTTTAAATACAACCATCCCCAAGGATTCTTCAGCCATCGCTGACCCCTGCTTGGTAGGCCATGGTTCCCCCATGCCCCACCCTGATGCCTGAGCCTCTGCTGTGGTCCAGCCCACATATGACCCTCAATAGTCTCGAAAGACAGGTTTTGTGTTTCCAGCCTATTAAAGTATCAGCTGACCAAATGGCCTTTGTCTTGTGGCTCCTTGCTGGGAGGGGCAGCTCTGCCTTGTAGAAGGGCAGATGGGAGCCAGAGCACGGTGTGAATGGGCATGAATGGATGGACCTTCTCTGGGTGGCCAGGAAAGCCACGGGCACAGAGACTCAAGTCTGCAGTGCCCTCTTGTCCTTAGACCGTATTTGTTTCTGCTTTGGAAACCTCATTCCTCTGCTAATTAGTATTCCAGTCCCTGCTGTTAAGAGGTCGTACACAAAGCTAAAGTCAGCATAGCGCTGCCAATACTAGCTACTCGAGAAGGATCAAAACTGGAGACCCTAGAGGGAGTGGGAGGCAAAAATGGAAAAAAATCCAAAAACGAAAATGACCAGAATTACTGCTTGGATAGAGACTGGTGGAACCACCGAGACTGTGGCCCCAGGTTACCCTTCGGGCCTAGAAATGGACTTACTTCCATGAATTGGTTCTCAGCCCAACAGTAGAAAAAATGTTCATGAACTGTTGAATGTAAAACAAATCTGCTTTTTTTTTTTTTTTTTTTTTTTTTTTTAGGATTTGGGTGAAGATTTACAGAGTAAATTCACTTTTCATACAGCAGCTCACATATACTTTGTCTCATGACATTGACCAAAATTTA